ATACTTCCTTTATTCAATGAAAATTTATATTTAACCAAAACATCAATATATAGGCTGAAAAATCACACTCTGCTAATTTACACAATATTTCACAGCCGTCATCCTAGATAAAAACGCAGTATAATCAATACAAAAATGCATGCATACTCCAATATATATTTTTTCATAAATATCAATGTGTTTTTATAAAAGGCATTGTTAATCACAATCTAGCTTGATAATCAATGGTTTCCAAACAAACCTCAATTAATAGTGGAGTTATAACATAGAGCTAGACTGCGTCTAATTAATAGAAAGAATTTTGAGTAAAGAATACTTACAACCAACAAATATGATATTTATAACAACCAGTCCAACCCAGCAACATATTTTTTCCACGAATATCAAATAATACCATTCTCTTACCATTAGTTAGGAGTGCACTAGGGGCTCAAAAACCACAATTTACCCATTATCAAATTAATAATCAGTCTTTCCATCTCTTATTTTGTCAACTTCATTCAAAGTGTGTATAAGGTAGATAAAGTAATTTAGATTTTTTAAAACGTTTTATTAGAATAAAAAAATACATATATAATTGAAAAAATATATAATATAAATGAAATTATATATTTTTTAAATTGTTCCAGAAAATTCTCCTGCTGGCTGGCATTAAACTCGATAAATTCGACAAAATATCATCGATTTTGTCTTGAGCCACCCCACGAGGCTTGTCCAACTGTGGAGGTTTTGATATTTTCTTTGTTGATGATTTCTTACAGAGGAAGTCTAATTGTTTTGTAAACTCCTCCGTATGAGAAGTTTTGTATTCCATTGTAAATTTACCTCTGCGTGTTCTCACTGCTACAATGTTCTTCAGATATATTTTTTCAGAAGATTTCTTTAACTTCTGTTGGGATTTGTTATCTTTCCACATGTATATATCTGAAAATGTCATTTCTTTCACATCCACCTTCCCTTTATTAGCATTCTGTACAGCTTTGGAAAAATCAGGAAAATCGTAAACTTTTTGTTTCTTCATGGAGAGCTCCACCTGATGATGAAAACTGTCGGCACTCATATATGTTTGTCCTGGCTCAAAGTATTTTAGTTGTATTTCATCCATATCTACTTCATCACTATTTACAATATATACTAAAAAAGACAGAAGGCACCAATTTTTATTTTGGCTCGAACAATTGTCGAGCCAAAGTGTAATCTTTTTCGAGTCCCTCTGCCTCAAAAAAAAAGCATAAAATGTACTAACCATGTCCTCCTTGTTCCTCCCAGTTACACCTTCATGCCATATACATGCCATGGGAACACCATGTGCTTTCTTCCCAAGAGGAACGAAACTCTGGTGGTAAGCCACTATCCTCTTTGTAAATATAACTTTTTTAAATGCATCCAAACGTGGCAGCATGATAACTTTCTGTAAATCTACAGAGAAAATGCTGCCATCATTGAGCTCCGCATCCTTTTTGTATAATTCTCTTGCTTCTTCATATCTTATCTTGTGATTAATATATTGTTGGCAATCATCACAATCATTATTTAAATTATCTGCATCGTGACCGTGTAAACAAAATTTTTCACAAAATTCACACTCTTCATGGCCCAAAGTTGCAAATGAAATATTTTTTTTCTTTATAGCTAACCTATAATATTCGTATGATATTTGTTGTTCTGGGTATTTGTGTGTAAAATCATTGTGCATCATGGTGATGGTCACATCACTTGGCAAATATCTTCTAATAGGAGCATGTTCCCTCCTGTAATGAGATACAGTTGGTTCAAATGATTCGATGTGCGCATCTATTAAATCGTCATGTTTATACTTCCTATCCGAAACATGTTTGCCACGTCCATCAGCTAATGGGGCTATTGCGGCAGTTGGAGTTTTGTTAAGGACCTCAAATACTGCACGGTCATTATTTGGTTTGTATCCTAGTGTTGTTAGGAAAAACTTCTTGCACACGGACTGCTTGATTGAGTCTTTATTACTGAAGAAGTATTTCCAGGTGTTTTTTCGTGCACCATCTTCAACACTTTTCCTCTTTACAGGCATGCGATCACACGTATTGAGGATAAATGTCTTCCTCTCCTTCCAGCCTAATTTTAAATATTGGGCGTTAATTTCAATACGTCGTCCCTCATTTATTTTGCTAATGCATTTTTTTTTGCAACAATCAACAATTGGCTTTAGTGCATACTTTGCTTTATATAGTTGCATCTTACGTTCTTTTCTTTCTTTGACACTTAAAGAATTACTTCTGCGAATTCGTATAGTTCCCTTTTTAGTAAATTGGACCGATGGAGATGCAGCTTCGTCCAATGGTTTATCCACAGATTCCTTTAACACTGAAACAAGATAAAATTTAATTATTACTTCGTTTAAGTACAGAACACGGTACAACCTATGTTATACATATAATTTATATGTTATATAAAATATACATAATAGATATACCAATTTCTTCTCCATTTTCCACCACATCCACTCTACTCTTTAAGACATCTTCGTCCATTGAAGGTTGAAGTGTTGTGACAGACTCATCTAAAACTGATAATTTAATGCATTGTATATCTGCATAAAAAATGTCACACAAGTTATCATATAATAAAAAAACACGTAATATTCTTACCAATATCTCCTCTATCCTCCATAATTTCTGCCTCATACACTACGACTTCCATTTTATCAACAGTTACTTCAGATACAACTGTTCTAGAATCCTGTAAAAGAAAGGGTAAAACATAACCAAGAAGAACCATACATTAGGTATTTACACAGTTATTTGTAGATTTTTTATAGTGAAACCTTGAGAAATTTGTAGAATATTTATTATTATGATCAATAAACACAATACACATAACCTTAGATACATAAAATAGATTGAGACTACGGAAATATATAAATAAAACACTTACATCTAACAATGAAGATTTACATTTGTCTGAAGCACGATGTAGCATATATTGAGTCCTTGACATCCAAGTGTTGCAAATATCACACAACATTTTATGATTTTTATAACACTCTACGATAAATTGAATAGTCCTAAATATAATTCACTATAAAAATAATCTTTACCGAAAAAAAAGAAACACCAAATACGAAAACACGAACGAACAACCAACGCACACACTAATCAGATGACGCTTGCAGTTGCAATGACGCCGTATTCGTCATAGATAACCCACGTTTTTGTCTGTGTTGCCAAGTTAAAAAGCAGTAAAGCAATGATACTATGAAAAAATGCAGTACGTACGTTGCAAATACTGCATTTTTAATTTGTATTGCGATAATGCTGCGTTTTTACTAAGTATTACACTATATTTTTTTAACTTACGGCAAAATGAACTATGGGTTTGATGACTTCGGAATATACCACAATATTTTTATATAGAGCGTTATTACACAGAAAACGATGTTAAAACGTTTGGTGCAATAATCTCGATTTTTCAATTTTTGCGATTACTGCGTTTTTTCTTAGGACGGCAGTATTGACACGTGTTATTTTTTTTATTTAAGAAAGGACACGCAATAAAAACCATGAGTAATTTTTTTATTAATTGTGCCTGCTGGATTAATTAGGCCGTATTTTTTTTTGTTTTTTTGAATGATTTTCTTGGTTTGGTTTTGTCTGAACATTTTAAATGAGACATTTTAACTTTTTGAAATTTAATTATTCTTATGAAATTTAGTTATCTTTATCAATCAATTTCATTTGTTTTTGATAAAAAAGTCAGACGCTTAGAAACATCAGGTGCACTAAACAGTAAATCAATTTAAAAAAATAGTTACTTGCAAAGTATGTGGAAACACAAGTCGATTTTCAAATTTAACAACTGAAATGTGGTATAAATGCGGTTGATTCTTAAATATAAAATCAAACAGAATTAAAAAGGAAGGTTGATATCAAAAACTGCAACGGAATCAAAAAGTTTAAAATTTGAACTTTGTTTTTCAAAAACAGCTAATTAAAGAAAGTTCATTTTAAGACTAACAGCACTGGATAGATCCCCATTGTTTTTTTATTTGATCTGAAATGTCAACAGTGGATAAAAATTTCCCAGAAATTTTCAACTTGAGTTAAGTTTTCGAAAATTTCCGGAAATTTTCAAAAAAAGATAAATTATTTCATAATTATTGGGTAAAATTTTATTTCTTATTAAGGCAGTTGTAATGAACAATTTTATGGTAAAATATTGTGAAGCAGATTTTAAAAGTTTTAAAAACCCTCTTTGAAAAACACTTCTTTTAATTGTAACTATATATAGCTACTACGGTAATTTGTTTTCAAAATTCTCTAAAATTATATTATCTTGTTATTTCTTTAGCATATTGACGTTTAGTGTCATTGCAAACTTTGTTTAAAGCTAAACACAAGAACAGTTCCCTATCAGCATCCCCATCCCTAAAGAGGAAGAGGCATTTTTCAATGTCTATTAAATAAGCCCAAAAGTTACTAAAAATTGTAAAATTGTAGCTAAAAAGACTCCATTGAATATTTACAGTACTTTAATAATTTTATCTTGATTTAATGACGTTAATGGAAGGCAAAAAGTAAAGAAACATTTTTGCCAAACCTGATCTATATAAAAATATAGCAATAAAAATTAAGAATTAATGATTTTTAGGTCATAAATTCCGCCACTATGTTTAAAAAAGTGCTTTAAAGACTTAAGTCTTACTTGCCACAACCTTGCTAGGGCACTTTTGGCTATATAAATCAATAAACTAAAGTATTATGCTTTACTTTAAATGTATACCTTATTTAAATGTATACTTTATTTTTCAACCAATACTGCCGATTGGGCGATTTGTGTGTGTGTGTGTGTGTGTGTGTGTGCGTGTGTGTATGTGTGTGTGTTTCAGACCCATAGCAACCGGGTGGGCAGCAACGGCATTCGCCCCCCCCCCAATAATTTTTTAAATAAATAATTTTGAAGTAACTGACTGAAAAATGACAAAAAAAAAAAAGTCGTTAAAACTCTTTTGGGGTAGTACTGTCCACCCCCTCCCCCCTAATACAATTTTTGTTTCTACGGACCTGTGTTTTATAAGCATCATACTGAGCAAATTAATTTATAATTATTTTACAGAACATTTAGATCAAATGTGTTTTTTTATGTCGTTTTTAGATAAATTGTTTTAATCTAATTCCACAAATGTATTTATAACATGTACCATTTATAAAAAAATACTTAAATGCAATCTTTAAGAGCAGCCGTGGCGCAGTGGTTAGAGTTCTGGCTCAGAACCCAGAGGTCCAAGGTTCAACGCCAGCTCCAGCCGAACAAGCGACATTGGCACGGAAGAAGGCGTGAACTTCCTGTTAAATGCTCTCCCACGGTGCTCTATGATAAGACTGTAAGCCTTATCATAGAGCACCGTGGAAGATAATTTAAGAATTACTAATAATAAGACTGTAAGTAAAAAAAATCTTTACACATAAAGAATCCTTGTTTCTTTAACACTCTACAAAATAATTTTGTTAATATAATAAAAATTTATTCTTTATCTTTTGTGAATAATTTACAGCGTAGTTGAGAGAAATAAAAGCTAGAAATATGTTATAAACATGCTCAAAAGACAGGCAAACTCGGATAACATCTACTTTTCATTATTCCACAAAAGTAAAACCTTTACTGTAAAAGTAATATGTTATATATTACTTTACCAATTAACTTGAACTTTTGGTATTGTGGATTATCCTCCTCCGGTTAATTGCCATTTGGAGGTCACATACCAAGGCCTGCAAAGACAAGTTCAGTTCACTAAAGAGAATCAAACCTGCTTCACAGACCAAGAGTAGGCGAGAGTGGGGTATTGGCGAACACCTAAGCAAATATGCGAATTAAAAACACCAGTTATATACAATTAATCATATTTATTGCTTATCATTTAGTCTAACTATTCAGTCAAAAACCCTCAAAAGTAATTTTTATACATCTTTTTATAAAACAAAAATTTAGGGCAAAAACAAAACTATTGGTGTTTGGAATTACCCTATGTAGGTGGGGTAATTCTCAACATACCTCGGGGTAATCACAAACACTATTGTTTAATAAGAATAAAATGCTAATTGCAATAACTAAGTGCAGTAATCACAGCCAAAACTTCAGCATATGCTTACCTCCACCAGGCCTAACAATTGTAACACATAATCTAGTCTTACATGAGCAGATCATAAAACTTTTCATCGCGACTTAGTACAACATCACTCTTTTAAAATTAATATTTAATTTATTGATTTATTAAAATTAAAAAAAAATTCAAACAAAAATCACAAACAAAACCCTTGGAAGGGCTTTTAACAATTGTGCACCTTTGCGCAACCAGAACTGGCATTTATGACACAAATTTCAGTCTTCTGTGGGTGGATCTTTATACTTTTTTTCGTAGATTGAACAAAAAGTTTTGTATTACCTCTGGCTCTCATTTTTTCTTTACATTATGATATATGATCAGCCTCTAATAGATTAAAGGTCTTCTATCTCTTTTTACTTTTACCAGTAGTGCTTTTTACTTCTTCCTTCTTACTTTTCTTTTGCTCTAAAATATTTCTCATTGGCAAACTAGTAATAATAGTGGAATCTTTCTTTCTTTCTAAACATTTTCTGGTTTTCACTCTATTAAATGAAACTAGGTATCTAATAATTTATCAGTTAAAATTGAATGTGATAAAAGTAAGAAATGGTAAAGTTCTGGCCGCGTGACATCTATGCATTATCAATGATACTTTAGACGTTCGAAATTACCCTATTAAGATTGTTCGTTATTTCCCCGCGAAATGACGAACGATCTGAAACTGTGTATGGGATCCTCTCTAAACAGGCAAAAAGAAATTGTCAACTATCTTTTTTTATTATGCTGTTTTGACCATGTTCGGAGTTACCCCGCTTTCACCATTACCCCTCTCTTTTCTAAGTGATTTTAAAAAGAACGAAGAATCATAAAGCAAGAGTCAGAAGTCGAATTAGAAAAATGGCATAGAGAAAGCAGACAGACATGTTAGAATGTGCAATATTAATTTCAATTTGCTAGTTTTAACATTATTGAAATTTTGAAAAATGACAACTTAAGCGTTTTATTGCTTTTTAAAAAAATAATCTGATAAACTTGATTATAAAAAATTGACTAAAGTATGTTTATTTTTTGCTTGTAGGTTTTTATTGATTTCATATTTCATTATTGATGAAATATTTAAAGTATACCCAAATACTACAATGATAAAACGCATATTTTTTAGTGTCGTTATGACTATTAAATAACTCGGCTGTCGACTAAATCAACTTATATATTACAATTATATATTATATATTACAAAAACACCCACAGCGTAGAGTTTTAAACTTTTATAATCTTATTAAATTGCATTTTGTGTTGACATTTAAATACACCATAATGTTAAGTGTTTATTTTAGAGAATATTTATAGCTTTTATTTTTTTTTTTTAAAGAAAAATCTTTCAGCCTTAATAAAATGTTTTTTGAATTAAAGTTAAATGCAATTTTATAACTAGAAAAAAGCTTTTCTCTAGTTATAAAAATACATTTAAACATTTTTAAAGATGTTTCATTCGACTTGAATTTTTGAGTGTTGTAAACTTTACAATACTGCATCATTAATTCAAAATTGCCCATTTTTGACTTGACGTCTTTTGCTAGTTTAACCCACGATATGTACCACTTCAATGTACCAAGTCGAAACCTTCAAAACAGGAAAGTGTCATTAAATATTCGGCAACCGAATACATTTCTAGTTACGAACAAACAAAAATAAACGGTTAGAAGTATAAATCAAATGATAAGATTAAAGAATTTTAAGATTTTCAGTCAATTAAATTGACTTTTAGTTGGCTAGTAGGAAGTCTATAGTCGATTAAATCGACTATTCGTTTTTTCTTAGTTGACTAATTTCGACTTTCGACTAATCGACTTTTATTCGATTTAGTCAAAGTTCATAACAACACATTCATTTTTAAAACACAAAAAATAGATTTTCTAAAAGTATATAAGTTTATTGCAATAAAAGATTGAGCAAAAAATTTCCGGAAATTTTTTACCCTAGCCAATGGTAATAATTATTTAAAAAATTAAAAACAAGCAAACAAATAAAACTCTTTTCAATTACACTGGATAAGAAAACTTCTTTGAAAAACTGAAAGTAGTTAAAAATTTATCAGAAAAGTCAAAAGAAATAAAAAAAAAAAAAAAAATACTAGACTTGAATTGAATTTCCACATCTCTGCCAACTGAAAATGCTAAAACAGTTGTCGTCAAAAGAGAGGCAAATTGTAAGTTAAAAATTAGCGACTGCATTGTTTTGTGAATAAAGAATGAAGCTTTTATATTGGTTAAGTTCGGAAAACGGGTTTCAATTAAGTATCTAAGTTCAATAAAATACACCTGGATGATCAAAAAATGCTCCCCAGGAAATCTTCTTAAAAATTCAATACATCCCAGTCAAATAATCAGAGACTAAGATGAAGAAAGCAGTAACAGTTTAAAATCTGGCACCAAAAGCGTCATAATGAATTAAGAGGAATTTAAAAAAGTTTAAAAATCAAATGCATTGACAATTTGTCATCACAAAAGTTAGAAAAATGGTTAAGTTATTTCAAAAAGTGTCACCCAAACAGTACGGAATTAGATTTTACTTATCCTCGAGTGCAGAACAAGATGTAACAGTCTCCTGGCACTAATTCAATTGTTCCTGTCAAGTAAAATATTCAATCAAAAAAGTATTGAAGTCACTTATATACAATTGATTTGCAGTGATGATGAAGTAGCAATGATGAAATTTTATTCAACATTGTTACTTCACAACCAATCAAATTAGCAGCAGAAGATTTTCTTACTACAAAGAACATTTTCAATTTTTATAAAAACAAACTAAAACAACAAGATATAACTCTTTGCAATCCAATAAAAATGCAATTTTAAAATAGTATGAAGAGAAAAGCAAAGCAATCTTATAGGCTTGAACAGATGTTTAAAATCCGGAATAGTTGTCTTGAAGTGAAGAGCATAAAGTTTTCATTATTTTAAGTTTGTTTGTAAAAATTTGTAAAAGAATATAAAAAACCTTTCGTCTAGTCTAAATAAATTCATCTAATTTGTAATTTGTTTGAAAAATGCTCAGCACAAAAGTATTGAAAAAAGTTCATGTTTGAGTAAATAATTCAATATTAGTCCAAAAAAAGCGCCAAAACTCACACGATAAGTTGAAACCTACTTAATAAAATAATTTTTTTTTAATGCACTTAAAACCCTTCTAATAATTTCAAGTCATTTCATCTTTTCATTTCTTATCACACTACGAAAACAATCAAAACCTCGGTGGTTTGGTAACTTATTATGCGACTCATTGTTTGTAAAACATTTTAATTAGATGCATAGTCGAAATTCATAATAAAACAACATAAAAATTTATTATAACTATACACTTATGATTTATTTGGTCCTAACTTTCTTTTTTCATTAGATTTTCTTTTATTTTGCTGTTTTATTTTTATTTGTTCGTTTCCTGCTCTAGCCAATTATTTTAAGTGTACTTTTACTATTAATTTAGGGTAAGGATTAAAATAACGATTACCTTATAATTTATCATTATTTCTTTTAGGTATCGCAATTTATGATAGAAAAAGTGAAACAATTTAATTTTTTTAAGACACTTTGCTCCTTCTTTCCTATAATTGTATGGCTTCCTAAATACAACTTAAAAAAGCTAAAAGGTGATCTAATTGCTGGTTTAACTGTTGGAATTATGGTTATCCCACAAAGTATTGCATTTGCAAACTTAGCTGGTTTGCCAATACAATATGGTTTGTATACATCCTTAACTCCTGGACTAATTTATTGCATTTTTGGAACATCTAAGGACGCAAACGTTGGAGCTACAGCCACAATGTCTTTGTTTACTCACAACATTAATACAACAAAAAGCCCTATAGGGGCATCTCTTCTTGCTTTTTGGTGTGGGATTATTTTAACTGCAGTTGGAATATTTAAATTAGGATTTGTGACTAAATTTGTTCCTTTCACAATAATCAGTGCCTTCGTTTCTGCAGCTTCTATAACAATTGCTATATCGCAGTTTCCTAATCTATTAGGAATTAAGGGTGCACCCACAACCTCGTTTCCAATTCTCGATTATCTTAGACAAAAAATCAAACTAACTAATAAATATGATGTAACATTAGGAATAATATGCATAGTCTATCTTGCCTTTTTTATGTGGCTGTCAAAAATAAAACTAAATAATTCACCCAAAAGGTTTGCTTTGGTACGCAAATTATGTAATAAATTCATTTGGGTAGTGTGTCTAGCACGATTGATTCTGGTATGCTTTTTCTCAGCAATTATTGTTTATATATTTTTTAAAAATGGAAAAACACAGAAGTTTACATTAGCAGGAAATTTGACAAAAGGAATGCCTAAGTGTCAGGTACTATATTTTAGAAAAATTTTACAACTTAATAATCACAAACTTGTATGTTTAAAAACATTTTGCAACTATGTATGTTTAAAAATATTTTGCAACTATGATTTTCGAAAACTCAACAAGAACTAAATTCTATTAAAATTCTTTTAAAAAAACTTTCAGAATATTTTATCAACCATTTTTGAGTTATTTAAAAATCTTATTAAAATGTTTTACGACAGTTTAAAAATTATTTTTTAAATAAATTTAGAGTTCATTTTTAATTTTTTTTACTTGATTACAGTTTCAATGTTTTTAGAGTCCTTTTGCTACAGCACAACTAGGGAAAAATATAACTATGTCTACAAGTCAGTTTACCCGCGATTTTGGTATATCTATTCTTGTTTTGTCAATGATTCAATTCATTGAACAATATTCAATTACAAAAGGGTTTGGGCGCAAGTTTAATTATAAAGTAAGCGCCCGACAAGAACTTATTGCACTTGGTATGTGTAATATAGCTGGTTCTTTTTATGGGGGCTGGCCTGTAGCTGGAAGTTTCTCTAGATCAGCAGTAAATTCAATGAGTGGCGCCCAAACACCATTAGCAGGTATTTTTTAAATTTATTGTATTACTAAAATTATATAGAATCAATAAGTAGTAAATGATAATAATCTGTAATAGGGTAGATCGATTTTTAAAATTATTGAAATTTGATTTGCCTGAGCTGCGATGTTGATGTTTTTTGATGAAAAAAGAACGATGTCTTTTGGTGAAAAAAGAACCTTACTTTTTTTTTTTTTAATTTAAATGAGTTTTAGAGGTTCCTCTTTGGATTCTAAATTTATGACGGATCCTAATATTGTTGAAATTTTTTTTCTTCTAAACTATATCAACCTGGTACTCAAAAGAAGCAGAATAATACGTTTATTTTGAATTTAGTATTTGTTTTAATTCAAAACTAAAGAGAATGAAATCATGTTGTTTTTTTCATTAAAAAACCCCCGTCTTCATCAAAACGGGAGTTTTAAAGTATATTTTTGCAAATATTTTTTTCACTAAAAATTATTTTTAAATAAAATTAGTATTGATAAAACAAGCATTTTTTTCCGTTTTTTTTGAGTCCAAGGTTGATATCGTTTAGAAAAAAAAAAATCAAAAATATTAGGATCCGTCAAGGATTTAGAATCCAAATAGGAACCTCAAGATCTCATCAAAATCAAAAAATATTTTTTTACTTTCATCTTATAATTAATAGACATCGATTCGTGTCTCAGAAATATTGATTTTGAAACTTTTTTTTTGCCATGAAAATCGATCCACCCTAGACTTAACATAGACTTTTTTTTTTAAATTTAATTCACCTCCTCAAGGCCGAGAAGGCCACTACAGACGAGGAGGCTACTTATTTGTGGTTATAACCCTCTCTCAACTCTATAACTCCGAAACACAAACCTTGATGAACAAGACCGCTGCGCGGAGAAACAAGTTGAGCGCGGTACTACCAGGGATGTGGTGGGGGTCGAACTTGGAACCACTCATTTATGAAGCGAGCGCTCTACCACTACACGACTTACAGATTCTGTAAGTCTATGTTAAAATAACAATGCACTAAAATAAACGTTTAACGTTTTGGGGTATTTTTGTTCTAAAGCTTTTATCACTGCAACTTTAAAACATTCTCATTGACATTGTTATTGATTACAATTGAGTTAAATAGTTATATATATATATTTGTTTCTACGGCCTGATATATATCAGATATATATTAGGCCCGTAGAAACAAATGTTTTATTGTTGGGGGAGGGGGTTATACTACTTTATAAATTAAAAACTTTGATGGTAAATCAGGATAAAACCTTATGATTTTGATTGCAATGTATAATAAAGGGGATTTTGCTTATAGTAATAGTTAAGATGAAGTGTCTCATTAAAATGGTTTTTAATTTATAAAGAATTCTTATTAGATTTTGATATTATATATTTATATTTTGATATCTTATTAGATATTGGTGTAAATAGTATCCTTATAAAGGATACCATTTACAGAGAGATAATTAAATATTTGGTTAAATATAATTCTTTTTAAAATTTCGGAAAAGCAGAAATGATATATTTAAAATAGTGAACTAACTTTTTTAAGTTCACCTCATTTGAATATAGAGGTAACTTTAACTACCTTCAGTGTTCTGGAATGGTTGATTTATTGAACAATTAGTGCAGCCGTGGCGCAGTGGTTAGAGTTCTGGTTTAGAACCAAGAGGTCCGATGTTCAACGTCAGCTCTAGCCCAATAAGTGCCATTGGTAAAGAAGGAAGTGTGAACTTTCTGGTTAAATGTCTTTCCGCGGTGCTTTGTGATAAGATTGCAAGGACCTCTTGGAATACCCTAATATCCACAAATAAAAAAACAGATAAAAAAAAACCTTAAATAGAAAATCATTTATGTTATCATTTAAATTAATGACTATATTTCTATTTACAATGTCTTGAAATATTACTTTATTAGATTTAAGCATTATAAAAAGCACTTTTGAATTCTACAAACGATACTTCAAAAGCATTTTAACTAGTTGTTAGTGGAAACACAAAATTATGAATTGGACTTGATAAGTCAGGAATGTTTTTAGTATTTTTGGTCCTGCACATACTAAAAATATATTCAATTCATTTGGAATTTTTTTTGCATCATCTACATTTTCACCATTAATTTATATAGCATTAGATTGAAAACATGATTTTTGTTGTGATAATAATTTAGAGATAGTATTTACTGAAAAAAAAGAAAGGAAAATGGTTATATTAGTTATTATAATGTTATCAATAAAGAAGTTGACATAGTTGTTACTCTTGCTGGTCAGCTAATTAATTGAATTGCATCGTTCTGAAATAAATCATCATAAAATTGTTGTTGTGATTAGTGTGATACTCTTAACAACTCAAGTTTACATTTTCCGTTAAGTAGTTTAATTTAATTTCTTATAACCTTTTTTTTTTTATATCATTACATAGAAATGTACTGCAGTTTTCGGTTATTCTAGATGGTACCCGATAACACCAACTTAAATGTATTTTTGTAAGAGTTGCTGGTAATAATTTATATTTTTTAAAACGTAATTATTGTTTTCAGAGATACTCAAGTTAGGGCTAATTATTGCAAATGTTGTAGAAAGTAAAGATTCTCAAATGATTTAAAAAAAATTAATGTTTATATATTTGTATATTAGTTTTGAAATTATAAGCTGTTTAAATGAGTAACTTGGTCCTGGCTATGAAGTTTTGAGTCTAGACTTTTTTATGAAACCTAACTTCTATCCTTTTGAATTAAATTTCACACAAATAAAAATAAAAATAAAAGGAAAATTCATGAGCATTTTTTTTTATCACTGTTGTTTTTTTGTATTTAATTTGAATTTTTTTATCTAACTAGAAAACTAATTATCTTTAAATTTAAGATAATTCGTTTTCTATTATTAAAATTAAATTTGGCGATAAAAATTTGACTTTTTTTACCTTATCCATGTTATTATTAACTTTTCTTATGAGCAAATTACATAATGATAATTAAAATTTTATGATACGCAGTCACATTATTTAAAGGCAGTTTCATTTTCCAAAAAATTTTTAGGTTTTATGGAAAATTCACTTTTCCACAAAACCTACAAGACGGGTAAATTTCAAGACGTGTAAGTACCAGTGATTTTGGTTCTGAGACAGATATGCAACATTGATAATTGGTTATAAGCTGGCTATATAAGCGACATTGTTAAATCACTCTCCGATAAAACCATTAGAGCGTCTCGGAGAATCATAATAACTTAAAAAAAAATTTTTTTTTGCTGAGTAGGGATAGCACTTTTAGTTACTTTTTTTTTACTTAATCGAGTAAGTAAATTTTTTTGAAAAAGTTTATTATGTAAGTAATGGCCACCGTTCAAATTGATTTTATATTAACAAAAAAATAATTAATTTTTATAAAGCGACTTTTACTTTATAAGGTAAGTTTTTTTACTTTCAAAAGTAACTTATGTAAAAACAGATTACATCAAAAAGTAATTTACTTTTACAAGTATAAGTAAGTCTCATAAAGAAGCAATTTACTTTTACATATAAATATTAATTACTTTTTCAAATTACATTACATAATTTAATATTTCCTCAAAATGTAATTTGCATTTACATATATAAAAAAATATACATTAATTTACATTATATAAAATTATATACATTATATAAAATTTACATTATAAAAAAAATATTATATTACCGTAATTGTAAAAAAAACTTTTATATGAAAAAGAATTACATAAAGTAATGGGCGACCAAATATAAATAAAATTTACTTATAAAATATTATTATATAAATTGTCATTTTTCATAATATAAGTAAAAAAAGTTGTAAAAAATAAATTATATAAAGAAAAAATTCTAGTACGTAAGCTTATATTTTATATAATTTTTAAAGTAAACTAAGAATAATTTATATTTTATAATTAAGTAAATTTACTTATATTCTAAAATAAATTAGAGAGGATATTGTTAATATCCTCTCTAATTTATTTTAAAAAATACGAGTGAAATGCAAAAAATACAACTTGCTTTAAAGTAACTAACATTTAGTTTTTATCGACATTTTTTGTGTGCGGTTTTGTCTTTTTTTTTCCCTTGTAAATCTTGATGTATCAGTATTTGGTTTATAGGCATCAAAATGCTGCCGAATAAAACCATTCTTACTCCTGTTCCATGAGTATATTGGGCAGTACTATACTGGTGGTGAGTAGGTTTAGGCAACATCTAAAGTGATTTAAAATTTTTAAATCACTTTAGATGTTGTAGCACTCAAAAAAAAAAAAGAAACTTCTTTAAAATTAACCGCGGACAACAAATAATCTTAATCCGGTTATGGTTTTTGGTTTTAAAACTATTCTTAGAGCTAAGCCGTATTACAAACTTTATTGAGTGAAGACGATGTTGATAAAGAATATTGTTTTGAAGATGAGGCTTACAATTTTGGTCAAATTTGGCAGAATGGGTGGAAAGGCATAACGAAGAGAAAATAGGTGTAGCGATATAGTAGAAAACGTTAATAGGACGCGATATAATAGAAAACGTCAATAGGAAGGAGTCTTTAATAATATTGCTGGATTAAGGTGTGGCTAGAGTGGTTATAGCCCTAGGTCCCGCACTTTTGGGAGACCCGAAAGTTTTAAGAAGACTGTTTTTTTTTAAATTAAGTTTTAAGCTGTGGTACATAAAACAATTCACTTGTTAAATAGCCCCGGAAAAATCTCAGTCAGCCAATAAGGTTGAGGGCTAACGAGTTTATTATACGCTTGCAAAAACTGAATAATAAATGCCATTTGAGAATTTTTTTACGGCTAAACGAATGCGTCGTGATGACGTTAAACCTGAGGTATAGTGCAGTTGTGGGTTTGAAGTATATTAGAAAATCAAAAATATACTAAAATATTAGCCACCTGTTCCTTAAATGTGAGGGCAACAAAATCAATTTCCATTTTCATATTCGTGAAAGTTTTGTGACAGGTTTTATAACGCTTATCATTTAGAGTTCAACATTTATAATTAAGTTTGAATTTTACATCCTTTCCCAAATGAGGTAGTTGTTTAAATTTTTTTGAAATAAGCATGAACACACTTTCACACTTACTTTCGGTTTCGTCCGCAGAGGACGTTTATGCAAAAGAGAGAGTGATGGGGTATGGTATTATGTATGGTATAATATCAGAAGTCATTTTTAATAATTTTATAGAGTGCTTCTATTACAGTTACTAGATTTTCCGCTAATTAGATTATTATTAAATTTGCTTCACAAGAGAGGCATCAATTTTCAGTGGGATCGAATGTTTGAAGACTCTGAAAAATAATATGACTAGTACTTAAAAAAATACTTATAAAAAAAAAAGTTGCAATATACATCAAAAACATTAAAATAAACCTAGTGATTCGAAAGTTGTTATAAAAATACAACGGAAACGCAAAAAGACGTTATTAAAAAAAGTATTAAAAAAGAAACGATAAGATAAACTATGGTTTAGTTTGAAGATGGGCAGGAGCCTATAAGTAGCTGTTGCGGTTTTCAAAAGGTCTAAATTTTTTTTAGGTTTAAATTAGTTTCAAAAGAGTGAAAACCTAATTTTTCATTTGTTTTAAAAGACTATTTTAAATCGTCTATCGTCATCGTTCTTCTTTAAGATTTTTAAGTCAGCGTGGTAATTATTAACAACAACTCTTACCCAAATGAAAACTACCTTTTTTAAAAGAACTATTCATAATATTTTAGTCTTGGATAGAATGATAGAAGCATCATTAAAGCTACATAAGCTATTGAAAACACACATAGGTCCCCAAGTAATAATAAAAGCTGTGTGCTCCATAATTTGTGGTGCACAGATCTTTTAGTCTATGGTTAACTGGCTTTCCTTGCCTTTAACGGGTATTGTTTTGAGACATCGGTTAGAAAAGAGTCGCGATGTTAAATAACGGCACAAAACCCCGCTTTTACGCGGGGTTCTGTACCGTACAGACTTCTTGGGGGCACTTTAAAAATAATTTAAAGAGTAACAAAAAAATTGAAGCAATGCCCTCCCCCTGACCACATTTAAATGTTTAATTAGGACCAATAATCTACTTTTGGTCTAAACGAAAAAATAAATTTGCTCCTTATAGCGCAAGGGCCCTCGCCGTCGCTGTCTTACTTTTACAAATCCATCCTAATAACTATATTAGCCCCTACTTGAACAATTTGTAATGTCCCGCCGCAAAAACGGCCCACATACATCTGAATAATTCCGAGTAGTAAAACCCAGATGTACTCATCAACTAATGCCTACCTTAAAAAAATGTTGTAAAATGGCTTTGTTTTTTGAAGAAGTAAATAATGTAATTTACATTTTGCTTACTTACTAAGTAAAATAAGTATTTGAAAGAAAAACATTACTTTTATTTTTAATAGTAAATCTTTTTTTTTTTTTCAAATTACTTTTATGTAAGTTGCCTTTGCTAATTAGTTACTTTTACACATGTAAGTAATTTATTTTTATAATGTACTTTTATTTTACTTTTAAAAGTCCGTCTTACATTTTTTAAACATTACATTTACATAACGTTATCTCAGAAAAGATCTTTTTTACATATAAAAAGTAAATTACTTTTCAATGGAGTAAGTAAAATCGAAACTTACGTTACAAAGTAAATTACTTTTTAACGACTTGCCTGAAAAAGTAATTTATTTTTTGAAGAAAAAGTAAACGATATTTAAAATAATTTATTTTTACTTGTAAAAATAAATTACTTTTTCAAGTAACAGTTGCGAATTTAAGTAATTAAGTTTATGTAATTAAGTTTTACTTGTGATATAATTTATGTAATAAAAAAAAAGTTACTTTTAAATGTAAGTGAATTATATATTTTAATATAAGTTATGTAAGTAATTTACGCTTAAAAGTAAATCGCGTTTTTACATTAAAATAAGTAAAAGTGCCATCCCTATTGCTGAGTCACTTGCTTCACGCAACATATTCACTTGCTAAGATATCTTCTTGTAACGTTTTTCTGCAGCTCTCCGTATTTCTTGTATTACTTTTGAAGGCTTTGCTTCCTATTCATAACTATCATTTTCAAGCAAAATAATAACTTTTTATTTTTTAGATATTGTTTGCTCAATGATTTACATTTGATAAGACAATATCAGCCTCTATCTGATAAATTTAGCTCACTAATTTTTTGTCAAAAGCAAATGACAAAAAAAGATGTATTAAAAACAAACATATTGTTATATAATCAAACCTATTTCTTTGAACTTCTCTAGGTTACTAAGTAATGTCTTATATCCAGTGTCTTTTTGCTGTTTTTTTGATTTAGAAGAATTAATAATGTCGCTAATGGTTAATGATTGCCCTTGACATATAAAACATTTATCCGACTCTGTCGCATTATTTGTTGTTGTTGATAATTCATAACCTGATGCATTTATAAGTTTGAAACTCTTCTGAGACATTACAATTTATTATAAACTTCTATAGGTTATTTTTGTTATTTGGTTTTATATAGATTTTTAAAGGTTTTACTTTTTTTGCATTAATATAGTAAAATAACAGTAAAAACAACTGAAAATAGCAAGCTCTATCATAAAGCTAACTATTTTCAGTCTTTTTAATCAACATTATTAAGTTTATAATCTTGATAAAAGCTTAGAAACAGTTAAAAATTAACAAAATAAAAAAATATATAAATAGGAAATTCATTGGTAAATTACATTAACTCAGGAAAAACTGAAAAAATAACTCGTGACATATATTCACGAATATTAACTTATCATGAAAGATACATTTACCAACTTACGAACAAATCGTCGTTTATTTGTTTACATACTTTGTTTGCACTCACCTAAAAAAAAGTATTGAATTGTAATTGTTTTAAAAATTTCCAGTATAACCACGTGCATCGTTTCCGCTTTTATTTAAAGCTGATTTTACACTAAAATATAAAGTTCTTTAAGTCCATTTCTCTAAAAAATGAAGGCTCAATGACTCAACGCCGAAGATATTTATAAATAGGGTCCTTTTCTCTTTTAACTTGAATAGCTGTTGACAGCAATTTCGCCAAGTTTTATGCTGGTATCACAATTTGAACTATTTTTACCCTTATTCCCCCCACTATTATAATTATATCGAGAAACATGTTTCTCGATATTGGATTCCAGGCCTCCAATAAATTCGAGCTTAAGATTAAGAAAAGTTTGTTCATTAAATGGAAAAATCCAGATATGAACAAACAATTAAACCAATATAAGGTAGCACTTTTTACATAATACTTACCATTTTATTAGTCGTTAACCTTTTGTTAAATAATTTAATATCTTTTTGATTGTATTTCTTGCTATTGCCTATTTTGCCGTAATTAATAAAAAACTGTAATTTATATTTTAGAGGCCATCCAAAAAGAACGTCATCCAAATAGGGGGAGGGGGTCGAGTTAAAAAGGACAAAAAAGAACAAGGGGAGGAGTAGAGGTTGTCAGAAAAGGATGTCACTTTATAGAATTTTTATTTTAGTTTAATTAACATGGAAAACTACGTAAACATGTGTTTTTGAGAAGATAATGTATGAGAATGTTTTTAATTTTATTTTTGAAAGGTGTAGCAGCAGATTCAAACATTATTGCAAGATGAAACAAATTTTTTTGGAATTAAAAATAGGGAGAGGGGTCAGGATTTTATGACGTCTTTTTCCTGGGGGTATAGGAAAAAAGGACAACCGGTGACAAAGGATGAAGGGGGGTCAATAATTGGCTAAAAAATGGTGGCGTCCTTTATGGATGGCCCCTTATTACTGTAGAACATTTGTATATAAAATTAAATAAGTTTTTTTAACCCGACTGAAGATGACTATAAAATAGTCGAAACATTTATTGTTATTTTATTTGTTTAAAAAAAATAGTTTTTTTTTATAAATGGAAAAAATATACATATTAAAAAAAATATACATGTACTATATTGAAACTCCATGGTTTTGGGGAGTGTGGTCTGTAAATATCTAAACAATTCTTAATGAGGTGGTATCCCGTTTTCGCCCTCAACTTTAACGGTTTTGTGACTAAAGAAAACTTGAAAAAAACTTATCTTTAGTTACAAAATTTTTCTTTTTTTACAATATATTTTAATTACAGTTAAAGTTATGATTAATTATTACGATAAAAATGATAAATATCTAAAATAACAACAAGGCATGCATTTGTCAATTACGCATATGTAGATTATATCTTTTTTTTTTTTTAAGTTGATTTAGGTGCCCCAAGAAGTCCTTACGGTCTTATCACAGAGCACCGCGGAAGAGCATTTAATAGGAAGTTCACGCCTCCTTCCCAACCGATGTCGCAAAACTTTCCCAGAGGTGGGGTTTGAACCACAGATCTTACGTTTCTGGGGCAGGTGCTCTACCACTGTGCAACGGCTGCTTAACCTATAATATATAATATATAAATAATTATTTTTTTACAATTTAAAAACTTAGTATTATTTTTATAGATTAAACTTTTTTATACGTTTTCTCATGTTTTTTTTTTATACGTTTTCTCAAACATATAAATATTTTAGGAGCATTTTCATTTATCGTGGTGATAATTGCACTCGAGCTGTTGACTCCGGCACTTTCTTATATACCAAAGTCTGCGTTAGCTGCAATGATAATAATGGCAGTTATAACAATGGTAGAAACCCGTGTTTTAAAAAGCATATGGAAACTTTCTAAATGGGATTTATTTCCCTTCTTTACAACATTTTGGTTGTGTTTTTATAACTTGGAGTACGGTATACTTGCGGGAACTGGAATTTCATTGATATATGTAATTGCAAGAGAAGCGTTTCCTAAATATTGTGTTAATAAAGACGAACAAAACAACTCCATTACAATATTGTTAAAAACAAACTTAAGCTACCCTGGTTCAGAGACCTTAAATCGAAAAATCCACTCCATAGTTCGCAAAAATGACGGAATTAAAAACATTTGTCTTAACTTGTCCAACACTTCGTATCTTGACTTTTCCGTACTCAAAGCGTTTGAAACATTACAAAATGAACTGAGTGAATTGTCAATAAAACTTTGTTTTATAGGAGTCACAAAAGAATCTCTTCGAAAACAATTAGAATTTGCTGGATTGACATGTGAGCTAAAAGAACAAATTGAATTGCAGCAAAACAAACAAGAGGAAGAAGTTTATAGGCGACCAACAGTTACACAGCCAGTTTTATTATGTCAAGACACAATACCCCCAAAAGAAGAGGAAAACCATGAAATGACACAATCAACAGAAGTTTTTACCTTGCCGTCAATAATTACTGTGGATAACATACATTTTAAAGATCAATAAAAGAGTTAACTGCATAATTTTTTAAGTTGTTAAATCCAAACTTTTTTTTGTTGTTTATATAATTATGTACTTTAATTTTTTTATTAAGAAAATTATTTCAATTCTTACAAAAGTTGTCTTTTTTTTTTGTATACCTCTCATTTTGAATCTCGAATCAAAGCAGCACTTGATTAGCGAATCGAATCTCAAATCGAATCATTAGTTTAAGGAAATCCGAATTTAAGTTTTTTTTATCTATATACTTTTACAATATACAATTACAAAATTAAAATGTTATTTGAATAAGCTCTTACTTTTAGCCCAAATTATCCGTTCCTTGTTTTGCTCGGAAAGGCTACTTGCGTTTACTGTCGATTGCTCCTCCTCCTACAGAGTTAACTTTTTCTGATAAACAATTTGTAGTTAGTACAGCAAGAAAATCAAGTGCAACTTAAATATAGGACAACCTGAATATCCCAATGTTTTTTCTTCGCGTTTTTTTTTTTTTTTTTTTGTACGCAATAATTTCAAATTTTACTTGCCGATCTAAAGTTATTCACTCTAGCAGCGTACAATTTTTAGAAACATGCTAAAAATTTTAATTTCGATTTCCATTTGTTTTAGATGAGAAGTTTGTTCCCTCAAGTTGAATTTCACCAGTAAATCTGATTTTAAACTGCGTAGCATAATTATCAACAAATTTACTTATTTCTCTCTTTCCATTGAGTGGAAGCCATTTTTCGAAGTCGTAATGAATAAACTAAATTAACACTCACGCTTTTTTCCGCACTTAAAATAGTAGCAGCTTCAGATACTAGGAGATATGAGGAGTGACAACTGTTTTAGTTAGACAAGACAATTACTTAAAGTGAAAACGGAGTCAAAAAGTACCAAAGCAAAGTTATAGACGTTTAACTATACAGTCGACGCGTTACTAGCTTGCGCTCAGCTCTGTTTAAATTCTTAATCAGAAATTATTTTTATTAAATTATGTTACAAAATTTCTTTGCCACTGAATTTCCCGATATATATTAATATTTTAACGCCGTATGTATGAAAACAAACAACAAAAAAAACAAAGAATTATTTTTTTCGAATCGAATTGATTTGCAGGACCCTAATATATATATATATATATATATATATATATATATATATATATATATATATATATATATATATATATATATATATATATATATATATATATATATATATATATATATATATATATATATATATATATATATATATATATATATATATATATATATATATATATATAAAGATCTGTGGAAAAAATGTTGCATATAACAGGAATAATTGCTACAATATACTAAGCAATAACCAAAGAACGTAAATCATTTAATGATATATATAAATAGAGTGTATGTTTTTTTTTTGTTGTTTTTTTTTGCCTTTTTTTAATATTATTATTTTTTCTTTAGTTCTTTTTTAAGGTCTCTGCATGAAATTAGTTTCCTGTTTCATTGTTTTCTTACAAAAATAGTATTATAATAATTTTTGTTATATTGCAAACAGTACTTTTTTTGTGTGAATTATATATATATATATATATATATATATATATATATATATATATATATATATATATATATATATATATAAAGATCTGTGGAAAAAATGTTGCATATAACAGGAATAATTGCTACAATATACTAAGCAATAACCAAAGAACGTAAATCATTTAATGATATATATAAATAGAGTGTATGTTTTTTTTTTGTTGTTTTTTTTTGCCTTTTTTTAATATTATTATTTTTTCTTTAGTTCTTTTTTAAGGTCTCTGCATGAAATTAGTTTCCTGTTTCATTGTTTTCTTACAAAAATAGTATTATAATAATTTTTGTTATATTGCAAACAGTACTTTTTTTGTGTGAATTATATATATATATATATATATATATATATATATATATATATATATATATATATATATATATATATATATATATATATATATATATATATATATATATATATATATATATATATATATATATATATATATATATATATATATATATATATATATATATATATATATATATATATATATATATATATATATATATATTAGGCCCTTAAAAAGTTTATATATATATATATATATATATATATATATATATATATATATATATATATATATATATATATATATATATATATATATATATATATATATATATATATAAACACATTAAGTTATTTAAATATATGTATGCATAACTTTTTATTTAAGATGTAAACTTTAATAAAACAATTGTAAGCAAAAATAAACCAAGAATCGTTAATGTTTTTAAGGAAGACTGCAGTTATACTTTCCTATAAAATCTTCAGTCAAAACATGCATCATATGATACACTACTTTGTTGATTTTTTGTACGAATTTTTTATCATGTCAATCTAGACATAATATGCTTCATGTTATAAAAATTGCTTGTATTATTCATAAATTGTAAAATATCATATTTGGTTGAAAAATGTTTATTTATATATTTGAAATGCGCTTTATTGAAATTACAAGTTTTCGATATTCTTAACAATTTTTATATCATATTTAAGATGATATAAAAATAAGTATAACAAAGAAATTTATAGAAATATAAAAAACAATATTGAAAGCATATTAATACTAGAAGGAACATTTGAGTTGTTTTACACTAACAGAGCTCAATAAATAATTCATACAGCAGTTGTATAATTTTGGACTACAAAATGAAATTTCGAAATATTGAAAAATTTACAAAGCTTAAATATTGCCTCATCTCAGTGTTGTCAAAAAAATGTTTTTAAGTTTAAATAAATCCCCGATTGTCTACCATACAGTTATATTGGGTAGCTAAGAATTGAAACTGCCACAGGCCATCTAACTGTCTTGATCAGTTTAGTAGTGCAGTCATGAGTTCTAACCGTTTTAAAAGTTATTTAGCGTTTTAAGGTATAATAAATTAATGTTCAAAATGTCTCAACTGGTAAATGCGCAGTTTTTAGATATAGCTCTTTTAAATTTTTAATTTTTATTCTTATCGTGTGTTTCGATTCCTTTACGCCATTTTTTACAGTAGACCATAAACAAAGAAATAAACTGTGGAAACCATTAAAAATTGTGTTTTTTAAATTACACATCAATAATGTTTTTGAAATACATAAACAAAATGTCAGCAGAGTGCTAAACATTTTTTTTTTTTTGGTTTACATTTGTTAGTTGTTGTACAGCTTTAAATAACCCATAGTAATATAAACATAACAAAGATAAACAAGTTATCTGAAAGAAGATCGCAAGGATCTTGTCGTCAGAATCTTAAAAAAACATTTAACAAAGATAAGATAAGATAAAAAAAAATTAATAAACTTTTACAAAATTGCAAGGCAAACAATCTGTGTCTGAAGAAAGAACAAGAGGATCTTCTCATCAGATTTTTATACAAGAGTAAACCAACATATAAATTAAAAAGTAAAAAGTATAAGAACAATAAATAAAACAAGTAGGAACAAACTTGTCTAAACATAAAACTTCTATAAGCAAAAAAAATAGACCAAAATATGTTTTTAACTTTTACTACTAATAATAACTCAATACATATCTAATGAAAGAATGAGGTTTTTCAGTTTTTTTTAAAAAGGCAAAAAGAAATAGGTACTTCAAAATTAAAATTCGCTAAAACAATTTTATTCGAAAGGTGTGGCACTCGATAGGTTATACAAAATTGATTAAAGTTTGTTTGACAGAAAGGTTCATTTAAAAAATTATTATTTCTCAAAATATATTTACTGGCTGGTTTAAAAGAGAAAAGATCTTTGAATACGGTTAGGGATAAGTTATTTATCCACATATACACAAAATATAAAATATTAAATACAGTTAACTCGTAAACATTCAGAATTCTCATTTCAATAAAATGATGCTTCAAATGAGAGAAGCAATTTTTTTTTTTTTTTAACATCTTCGCTTCCAACAAGGTTACAAGCAACCACTAATTAGTGTTTGAAGTTACTGGAAGAGAAAAGATGAAGATTGTAGAGCAAGATAACGATTGACAGATGACTTAAAAGATTGAAAATTATATGAATCAGGAAAGCAAGATGAAGGAAGCAAATTCCAAAGAACTGATGTTCGAGGAAAAAAACTAGACGAATAAGAGTTTTTGGAGCACTTAGGAACAGTAACAGAAAAAAAGATGAGACTTAATTGAATGACGAGTAACACGAGAATGAATTTTAGTAGATGGCACAATAGACGCGAGCTCTTTCGAGCAGTGCCCATTATAGTATTTGTAGAAAAGAGAAAGAGAAGCAACATTACGACGATGTGACAGAGGTTGAAGGTTGGCTACAAGAGCAGGTCCAACTATGTTTACAATGCGTTTTTGCACCTTGTCTAAAAGAGAAAGGGCATCATTAGAAGATCCGCCCCAGATATGGCAACAGTATTCCATACAAGGCCGGATTTGAGATTTATAGAGATAGAGAATAGAATCCAGAGTAAGAAAGTGACGAGCTCGATAAAGAGAAGCGACTTTAGCAGATGCTAATTTTGCAACGGATTTGATATAAGGTTTCCAAGAAAGATCGGAAGTGAGAGTTAATCCTAGAAGATGAAGGGTAGATGACTCATCGAGTACATTACCGTTCATAAATATAGGAAGGTCTAAAATATTGCGATAACAATTGGCTGAAAAAAATTGAGTTTTATCTGAATTAAAGTTCACCAGCCACTGTGAGCCCCATACTGTAGCAGAAGTGAGATCCTTTTCAAGCTCAAATGCCCCCTGCAAGCAATCAGAGGGAGTTGGCTTCTTATCGTGACAAGAATAAATGGTAGTATTATCAGCAAACAATGCCACCTTAGATGTGAGAGTATCTGGAAGATTGTTAATGTATATTAAAAAGAGTATAGGGCCAAGGATTGAACCTTGAGAAACCCCTGAGTTTACAGAATAAGAAGAAGAGTTTTGTCCATCAAGGGCAACTTTTATACTACAATTGGAAAGAAAAGCTTCAATAATCTTAAAGATGTTTCTTTACACCGTAAGAAAAAAGCTTATGGAGAAGACCAGCATGCCAAACTTTATCAAACGCTTTAGAAATGTCAAGAGCA